AGGAGGTATACTCTGGATTAGGGACGGTTTTATCGTTTTTGGAGATAGTTGGCGCCGGGGCTGCTTCATGACCATCAATCCATCCAAGGAGGAGATTAGCTGAAAGAGCTGTCTGGACATTGAGAGACCATGCCGGATAATTTGTTTCGGTGAGTTTTTCTGGGATTAAGTTGTGGAGACTCCGAAGCAAAAGTTTTACTCCGGAGGGTAAGGACGCCAAAGGATCCAACGGGGCTGCCATGGTGGGCGGCGGTCGGAAAAAAAGAGAGGCTAGGTTTTTGAGAGCCTTAGCTCCGATACCATGATACAATTTGATAATAACTTGTCTTATTGAATATTGAGAGATATGGCCCTATATATAGGGAATACAAGAGTAATCAAAGTACAAGTAGGAAAGAATAGAATAATCCTAGTAGGAAAGGAAAGAAGTATCCTAATTTAATTATACTTCCTAATAGTTTTTACAATTCGACCATTGAGTCAGATTATTTCGTGGGATTCATGTCCACCAATGAGGAAATGGTGCAAAATTCTTGTTGCATCATAAGAAATGAAATATTGTGTTTCCTATATTTGTTAGATATCTGTATATATGTCAAATGAGAATTAATTATTTTGTCGTGGACGCCACCTGAGTTTTGTTCTAGTTTTGAGTAATTTATTCATTTTGTAGGGAAACATTCCAAAGAGGGAGAAAAGATATATTACCCTTGTAACTTATGTCATAATCATTGTATGGTTGATAGCGTTAAGGATATAAGATTCTATGTGTATCACAAGGGCTTTGACCAAACATACAAGCAATGCAAATTACATGGAGAGTCAGAAAATGTTGGTATCTCTAGATATACTTATAACGAACAAGTAGAAGTTGATACAGATGTTAGCGTAGTATATTTGTAAACATTCGTTTATCATGTATTGGGCTATGTACATTATGGGCACGTAGCTAGTATACTCCGTCATGTATATATACTTCCTGTGACTGATGGAAAACACAAGTTTCACGTTCAATAATGTCTACATGGTATCAGAGCGATCCTAGGGTTAGTTTCCAAACCCCTGCTCTCGTGTCATTGATGCGCCGCCCGTCTGTCTCTCTCGGCGGTGCTGTTCGTTGTAGGTGCGTCGGAGTCAGAGCTCGTCGGCCCTCCTCCTTCGCTGAACAGATCCGGAAGGTTTGTTCCAGTCCAGCATCGTCCGTCAAGCTTTGTCCTCTGCAAACTTCGTCCGTCCAGCATCGTCAGGTCTCTTTGTCCGCCGACAAGTCAGCCGTCTGTCCGCCGCTCGTAATCCACAATTCGGCCAGGTTTCTGTTCGTCCTTGTCCAGATTCGCCGACATCAAATTTAATTCCAGCAGATCCGCCCGTCCAGATCCACCCGTCCGTCTGTTCCAGCGATCCATCCCAGCAGATCCGCCCGTCCAGCGATCCGCCCAGCAGATTCGTTCGTGCTATCTTCGTCGACCTCCGTCCTTCAGCCGTCAATTTCAGTCGGTTCTTTCATCCTTCAGCAGTCTATTGCAGCAGAACCCTCAAAAAAAACCCCATTCCATGGCTGCCGAATTGTGTGGAGATAAAATGGTTTGGTTAATGTCTGTGATTGAATCTTTTTCGTCCAATCAAATAAATGGTATGACTTCTACATTTTGTGAGTGGTTAATTGATAGTGGAGCTTCACATCACATGACAGGATCTCTTTCACACTTATTTAATGTTGAGGATGTCTCTCCTCATTCCATATGTCTCCCTGATGGGTCCCGTGTTCAGGCTGTCATACAGGGAAGTGTGCATCTGTCTTCTCGTTTGGTACTACGTAACGTGTTATACGTACCAAACTTACATTGTCACTTGATTTCTGTTGGATGTTTAATTCATGATAATACTTGTTATGTAACTTTTAATGATCATCGTTGTGTAATACTGGACCGTTCGTCGAAGATGGTGATTGGACAAGGTGATTTGCGAAACGGCGTGTATGTCTTTGCCTCAGTTCCCGCGTCAGCCCTCGTAGCCAACATCGATCCCTTTTTTCTTCATCAACGGTTAGGCCACCCCTCCGTGGATGTTCTCCCTTTTCTTGGTACTAATAAAACATAGTCTGTTGTCCAAAAATTACAGACTTGTGAAATTTGTTTTTTGTCCAAACAAACTCGTTCTCCGTTTCGTATTAGTGATAATAAAGCTAATGTTGTTTTTGATTTAATCCATTGTGATCTGTGGGGACCTTATTCACCTTGTATTTCATCTGGGGCACATTATTTTCTCACAATTGTTGATGATTTTTCTCGGGCTGTCTGGGTTTATCTGATTAAATCAAAAAGTGAGGTCACTTCTTGTTTACGACGTTTCTTCACTACGATCCACACCCAATACTCCAAAATAATTAAAATTGTTCGTTCTGATAATGGTACTGAGTTTCTGAATTCTTCTTTGCGCCAATATTATGAGAGCTTGGGTGTATGTATTCAAACGTCTTGTGTTGGTACCCCACAACAAAATGGGTGGGTAGAACGTAAACATCGTCATATACTGAATGTGGCCCGATCCCTTATGTTCCAAGCGTCTCTTCCACTCGAATTTTGGGGGGAATGTGTCAAAACGGCTGTTTATTTAATCAATTGTACACCCACCAAAATTCTCGGGGGCAAATCACCACTTGAAATCCTTTCCTCCAAACCTCAAGATTTAAGTCATCTCCGGGTTTTTAGGTGCCTTTGTTTTGTCCATCCTGTTCCCAAACCCAAAAATAAATTCCACCCACGAAATGTAAAATGTGTGTTTGTGGGCTATCCATACGGTACCAAAGGGTGGAGAGTTTATAATCTTGACACACATAAGTTTTTTCACACGAGGGATATTTCGTTTGATGAAACCGTCTTTCTGTTTGCCGTCCCCACTCTCTCGTCCGGCTCTCAACCTATTCTTACACCCTCCCCAGTTGATTTCACTGTTGCTCCCGTCCCCATCACCCCTTCCGGACCGGCGACCCAGCAGCCTTCCCCGTCTCCCGTCATCCCTGCCGTTCCGGCGACCCAGCAGCCCACCGAGCAATCCCCGTCACCGTCCCAGTCCCCATCAGAATCTGCCACCCCCTCCGCCTCTTCCCATGACGACGACAACCCAGAGTCCTCCTCGGTGGAGACCACTTCTCCATCGCCGATACTTCCATCCCTTCCGCCTCGCACACGTCGTTGTCCGTCCCACCTAAACGACTATGTTCTCAATTCCGCAAAGACTGTCACTCCGGCTCTGGTCTCCTCCTGTTCCTCACAATCTGGTACTCGGTTCCCTATTACTAACTTTGTTCATTATTCTAAGTTGCATGACAGGTATAAGGGTTTTCTTGGAGCTATTGATGCCACCTCAGTTCCCCGTAATTTTCGTGAAGCTGTTCAGTTTGCTTCTTGGCGTGAGGCTATGGCTACTGAGTACTTGGCTTTGGAGCGTAATCATACTTGGGATGTTGTAGATCTTCCTCCTAATCGACAAGCCCTTGGTTGTCAGTGGGTATACAAGACCAAATTTCGGTCTGATGGTACTAAGGAGCGTGATAAGGCTCGCCTTGTTGTTTTAGGCAATCATCAGGAACTTGGTGTTGATTATACTGACACTTTTGCTCCTGTTGCCAAACTTGCTACTGTTCGTGTTTTGTTGTCTGTTGCAGTGGCTCGTGGTTGGCAGGTTGATCAGTTGGATGTTAATAATGCCTTCCTACATGGTGATTTACAGGATGAGATTTATATGAAACTGCCCCCTGGCTATACTCATCTTTTTCCAGGGAAAGTTTGTCGTCTTCGAAAGTCCTTATACGGGCTTCGTCAGTCCCCTCGTAATTGGTTCACTAAGCTTCGCATTGCTCTACGACGATATGGTTTTCGTCAAGCCCGCGATGATCACACTCTTTTTGTTCTCCAGCGTGGCCCTGATATGTTGGTTGTGCTTGTTTATGTTGATGATATTCTTGTGGTGGGTAACAACAGGTCCTTATGTACGTCATTCAAGAAGTATTTAGATGAATGTTTTCATCTCAAGGATCTTGGTCCAGTTTCCTATTTTCTGGGGATTGAGTGTGCTCGCTCTCCAGATGGTATGGTCCTTACTCAGCGTAAGTATGCTCTTGACATTATTGATGAGGCCAACCTGCTTGGTTGCAAGCCTGTAGACACTCCATTACCGGTTAATCATAATTTGGCTCGATCTACCAGTGCTGAGATTCGTGATCCTCTGAAGTATCGTCGTCTTGTGGGTCGCTTGTTGTACCTGACCATTACTCGTCCGGATATTTGTTATGCCGTTCACACTCTTTCTCAGTTTATGCAGGCGCCCCGTCTCGATCATTGGAATGCGGCTCTTCGTGTCCTCCGTTATCTCAAGGGCCACCCTGGTTAGGGTATTTTGTTGCGCAGTGATAGCAATCTCGCCCTCACTGCCTTTTCTGATTCTGATTGGGCTAGTTGTCCCCTCACACGCAGATCTGTCACTGGTTATTTCATTCTATTGGGTGGCTCTCCAGTCTCATGGCGCACAAAGAAGTAGACTATAGTTTCTTGATCTTCTGCAGAGGCTGAGTATCGAGCTATGGCAAATGCTTGTGCCGAAATCCGTTGGTTGCGTGGGATCTTGGCCGCCTTAGACGTTCCTTGTGTAGCGAATCCTCGTTTATATTGTGACAACAAGTCTGCCTTGTTCATTGCCGCTAATCCAGTATTTCATGAGCGTTCGAAGCATATTGATATCGATTGTCATATAGTCCGGGAATGCCTTCAGCGCAATCATATAGTCACCGCTTATGTTCCTACGTGTTTTCAGATAGCAGACATCTTCACAAAGGCTCTCTTCGGTCCTCTTTTTCACAGCTTGTTGTCCAATTTGGGCATTTATGATCTTCATGCTCCAACTTGAGGGGGAGTGTTAGCGTAGTATATTTGTAAACATTCGTTTATCATGTATTGGGCTATGTACATTATGGGCCCGTAGCTAGTATACTCCGTCATGTATATATACTTCCTGTGACTAATGGAAAACACAAGTTTCACGTCCAATAATTTCTACAACAGATGATATCAAGGGTTTTAAGACTAAAATGGAAGATGACATAGAGTATACTCAAGGTGTTCGACCTTGGAAAAATGTCCTTGATGAAGAGCGTAATATGTACAAGGTAGAGTTTAATATGAAATTTAAAATGGCCATTGTATTTTGGTTGTGCAAAGTTCACACGTTTGAAAGGGGGGTTGGCATTGTTCAATCAAAAAGTGGTAAACGGATGGAGTGACAACAGTTTCACGTTCTTGTTAGGTTTATTGGGTGAACTTTTTCGAGATGAACATGATCGGCCATCTTCCACTTCTAAGGTGAAGAAAATGGTGTGTTCAATGGGGGAGGGGTACAAGAAGATACATGTTTGTGTTAATGGTTGCATTTTGTTCCATAAATGAGTACGAGGATCTAAGCTAATGTCCCAAGTGTTTTGCTCCAAGATACAAGGAGTCGATCAAAAGCATTCCTAACAAGGGCGCAATATGGGATTTATCAAAAAGACTCTAATTAAGGTTTTGTGGTGTTTTTCAATAATACTAAGGTTCAAGCGATTGTTTTCTTCTATTAAAGATGCAAAGAATCTAGTGTGGCACGTAGAAGAGCAGCGGAAAGATATTGGCACTCTTCGCCACCCGGCCTGCTAATGCCCTGTAGTGGAAGACAATTGACTACACGTTTCCCAAGTTCGAGAACGAAAGGAGGAATAATCTTCGATTGGGATTGCGTACTGATGAGATCAATCCTTTTAGAAGCCTGAGTACGCAACATAGTACTTGGCCAATATTGCTTGTCATTTACAATCTCCCTATAGGGTTGTGCATGAATCACAACTACATCATGTTTCATTCCCACAAAACTTTTAGTTTTTTATTTTTTATGTCTCGAGAATATTTAAATATTATTTTTTAGTTTTTAAGCTTTGTTTAATTTAAAAAGTCAAATAGATAATTTTTATGCAATAGAGGTAATATTTACCATACATGTGACATATGCATATTTAGAAATTAAACAATATTAATCTCACATGCACATGATAAAAAGATACTGTATGCAAATTTAAAATTTATGTAATTTTTAATAAAGAAAATCATGCGTACAATTATTTTGGTCAAAATTTTAAAACATAATTTATAATAAAAATTTTAAAATAGTTACTACAACACAATTCAAAGAAATATAACTAACAAAAATTTCAAAATCACAAAGAGAATTACAAATTACTTAATTGAAGAAAATCTACGTTGACTCTATAATGATAACTAAATTTATCTTGAGGATACTATTTTTTAGTAATTTGTGACATTAAATTAATTTTTTTATTTTATCGAGATAATAATAATAATAATAATAATAATAATAATAATAATAATAATAATAATAATAATAATAGTATATATATATACACACACACACCTAAATAATTTTTTAAAGTAATTGTTGGAAAAAATAAGAAAAAGTGGTAAGAAACCGGAAGCAGTTAAAAGAAACTAGAAGGAAATGAAACAAATTGGAATGAGTTAGAAGAAACTGGAAGAAATTAGAAAATGTTGAAGGTTAAGAGTTAACACTCAAATGAAGAGAGCTTATGTTTGATTGAATTGGAAGAATTATGAAATAATGAAAAATTCCAAGGAAAAGAAATTAAAGAAACCAAAATTCTTAATTAAGGATTTTTATTAATAGGTAAATTGGTTAAAGATTATTCTTAATGACTTGTTTATTTATTAATAGAAGAGAAAAAAGCAATGTTCAATGATGGAGAGGGCAAGAAAGTGAAGGCCGGAGGGCAAGGGAGGGTGCGTGGCCGTGCCGTGAGGCTGAGGGAGGGCGTGAAGGTGGGTGGGTGGGAGGGAGGGGCAACAGTAGTGGGGGAAGGGGCGGGTATAATTTGTGTTTTTTTCTCTTTTTCCTTGCAAAAAGAGAAGAGAAATTAAATCATAATTTTACATTATATTTTTCTCGCCCATTTTCTTTTCTTTCCTCTCTAACTGGACACCAAAATTACATTTTTTTTCTTATCCTTAATTTCACATGCATACTCACAACCCTACATGACTATGACTAGTTGTCTTCCTACATGACTCTATGACTTTCCTACATGACTCTATAACTAGTTGTCTTGGTTCTTCACTACTACTTAATTGGAACACAAACAAATTCCTTGGACCAAAGCCTCACTTCCTCTAATTATTTCAGTTCATATGATTGAGACGTATTGAGACGTGGGCATTAAATTATAATAGATATGCTCAATATAATTTCAAGCTATACCGACATTTCCTGGGGGACGACACAGCCAGTGGTACAAAATTTTGTTTAGAGGGATGGGGACGAGCTTACACCATAATTATTGTAAAACATGTACAACAAAAGTACAACTAGTCCGTCCCGCCACCATAGCAATAATGAATGTGTTCCAAATTAAATCATCAAGGAATGACAAATGACTTCTATATTTTATGTAACATTATATTTGTGAGTTCATTTTTTTTATGTTGTTAAATGGTACTCGTTTTATTTGAATTTTTAAAACATAAATTAGGATTAAAACATTCGTTTGAGTTTTGCACATGATATGTATGGATATGATTGAAAAAGATTAAAAAAATATATGCCGAAATATGAAATTGATATGAAATGAATATGGACGGAGTATTGCATGGATTAAAATGATCCTCGCTTATCAATGAATATTTATATATACTAGTATTTGTCAACCTTTGATTTTTTTAATTAAAATTGATCAAATTTGACGATTAATTGGAAAAAATTTGCACTCCATTGGTCCCATAAAAAAGTTCTCTATTTGAATAACATGCAAAATCATGTGACTTTTAAAATAATTTTCAAATTGGTATAGAGATAAAAATAAAATTTAAATATTTCAAAATTACATCAAAAGTTCTACAAAATTGAAGGTGATAAGAATATTTTATCTTATCAAATAATAAAAAAACATGCAAATAAACAAAAGTTATCAAGAGGCTGTAATACGTACTAAAGAAGTAAATCATTTTGGGACGGAGTGAGTATTAGATATTGATACAAGAATAATTTTATTAGATTTACTTTATAAAATAATTTCAAAATATTGATTTATTTAATTAATATATTGATACAATTTGATAATAAATTATTTTATTGAATAATGATAGTTACATCAATTTATATAGAGAATACATAGATAATAAGAGCCAAAGAAAAATAAAAAACTTATCGTAACAATAAAATAAAGAAAATAAATAATAATAGTATTCTGCTTTCTATTGTCCTTATGGAAAAAGTCATTAGATAAGAGTAAAAAATATGGGAAAAAAACTAAAATATGAGTCTTAAGTTTTTTAAAACCAAAATAGGAGTTCACACTGTCATTGTTACTGTTGAACATTACAGCGGGAATAATAAATAAATAGAATAAATCCGAACTTATAAAACATTCGGATTTTACAACGAAAAATAAATAAGTAAATTGGAGTCTTCGGGAAGCTCGAATGAACTGAAACGAAAGAAGGAACACGAACGGATCGCTGAGTAGAGACGTCGGGTGGTAGGGTGTCGCCGGAGAAGTTTCTTAAATAAAGGTAAGGAAAGCAGAGTAGCCGGAGCTTTCCTTAAGGTAATATTGCCCGCCTCCCGCACTGGCAAACGTGGGCAATCTCCTCCCAGGATAAAACCGCTACGTGCAAGGCCTAGGGCAGTAGAACCGTGCACCGACGAACGAGAATGACGAGATGTTACTGCTGGGGAAGATGATCGGAAACCGGGGAATTGTAGGAAAACTATACGTATTACAGAGAGAGAGTTTTTGTTGTATTATCATCTCTGCAGCCAAGTCCTCCTTTTATATCAGAGGAATTTGGCTCTTCGCTGGACCTGTCGGAGATTACGAAGACTCGAGTGACTCTTCGTTCGTAAGTGCATGCATGTTTTAACTCCCGCCACTTCATTAATAACGAAGTGTAAACGCGTGTTTGATTCGGTCTCGTAAAAACTAGCCACGCCGCGCCGTGGACACGGGCGCGGTGCGCGCCCTGCCCCGCGCGCGTGCGTGACGAGCCGAACCGAACTGCGGTGGCGCACGAGGAGTCCTTTTCTTGTTCCTTTCATAAGATCAATTAAATGCCTAAACTTAAATATGAGAATACGAAAGGTTCAAAAACCGGTGTGGGACAAGGGTTTTACTCTTCCCTCTTATTCAACTTTGAGAATTAATTTCTCATTCACCCGAGCACCATTTATGGCGTGTAATATGTCGAAACATTTATCTTACTTACGAGATTAAACGTCCATAATTATTTCGGAAAATAATTTTGTGGACCCTACCGAATTTATGTCCAAAAATGTCCAAATTCTCTAAAAATTTCCAACAGTTACATTGTCACACTCACTATATTATCACACTACAATTGTCACACAATCACTTCCACATCGCCATTTGTTTCCGCCGGCCACTAAAGTGCCATCGTGGATCGCCTACGGTTGACTAATCACATTGTCATATTGCACTTTTATAAATTTTTTCATTACATTACAAATGCATATGATAAGTCCGTTTTGTACTTATCTTTTTACTCATATTTATTACGTTCTTGTACTATTTTAATTACCAAATCAGTCAATTCTTTATTCTTATTCATCAAAATATTATGTTTTGATCATTTGATCGTAAAAAGAATAGTTTTGAATTAAGAGGAATTTCCTTAAATAGCACTAAAACATAATGACTTTCTCTAAATAGCACTACATGTGTTTTTCTTCCCAATGTAGCATTTTTAGTCATTACGCATTAGTCATTATTCAAGTAAATATTTGCCATCATTGGACATTATGGATATTATTAAGTGCTATTTAGGGAATAAAAAAGTTTAAGTGCTATTTAGGGAAATGACTTAAGTTTTAATGATATTTATTTCAAATATTTCTTGAATTAATATGCAAAATTTGGCTAAGAAAGGAATAAAAAGAGTTAATTTTTAATAAAAAATTATTGAATTAAGCTAGGGGTACCCCATGTTGGTGTACCCCTAGCATTGCCCAAAATTATTTCCATCTCACAAATGGTGCAAAATTAGAAGTCAGTGCAGAAGGAAAAAGTGTTCAGAACATGATTTCTAGCAGGATAGCATCGACGGACCGGAGTGGCGCAGCAAGCGGCCTGGCAGGCGGTCACCTACCTGGCCGCCGGTCAGATGGCAGCGACGGGCAAGCAAACGAGCAGCAACAGCGTTTTGCAGAGTAGGCGCCAGCCTGCCCGCCTGTCAACGGCGACCAGAAACTTCCAACAGCTCCGAGAAGCACCAGTGGCGGGCTGGCCGACGGCCACTGATCTTCCCGTCGGTCGATGTTCCCCTCTTATAAAAGTCACGCGGCTCCTTGTGTTTCCCTATGCTTTCCCCTTACGTTTTTTCTCCTTTTAGGTGCGAAATTCATCTCATTTTATTCCAAACTATTGTATTAAAACTGTGTTGCTTAAATTTCTTCTTCAAGAGTGAATTTCTCAATTTTGGGAGCACTGTAAGTTCGTCTCTCTCTTGTCTGTAATCCTTATTGAATTTTTATTAAATAAAATATTTTGTATCTTTGAAATTTATTATTGGATGATATCCCTTTGAGAACTAAATTTATTATTATGATGATGTTGAATGTTATATTTAAGCTTATGAATTGGTAATTTTACATGGGTTAGGATTCGAAATAAAGATTTAACCAGTTTAATTTCATCTATTTATTAGTAATTGGATTAGTTGTTAGAAAATGAATAAAGGTTTATCAATTAATAAAATTGTTTTTATTATTAATCAATCATTGGAAATTAATCTTTTTTCTTATGTATGAGGTAAAAAGAGTAATTAAGCCACACTTTCTGAACACCTAGAAATAGGAAGGGTTAGAAATAACTCTTTGGAATGGTTTTAACTAATTAATAATACTAAAAATTTTATTAATTAAGTAATTGGAAAATAATTCTTGTCTTGCCTATGAAGATTTAGAATTATTTAAGACGAACATTTTCTAGCACAGTACTGAGACCTAGAAATAGGAGATGTACTGGAAATAAAATAGTCTTATAATTAATAATGAGACCTAGAAATATGAGATCTATTAAATATAAGATTAGCATTTATGTTCTATATTGACACCTAGAAATAGGAGATCTATTAAGTATTAGTGCTACACATTTCATTAATCCAATTGTTAATTAAAGATGAGTTAAATTGTGTTAAGTCCGCGTTCCGATCTTAACTCCTGAAGTTATTTTATCATTTATTTTAGTCACTTATTTCTTATTTATTCGCATCTCTTAAACTATAAATTTACCTGTGATAAATAATAAAACTAATTATTCCTTTTGACACTCCTGGAGAGCATGACCCGAGTCTAACTTGGTTATTTGTTGACTTACCGCTATACGCAGTTCATCAGCGTACTCTTACATCATACTATCCTTATATTCCTATTTTGGTCTTAAAAGACTTTAAAATATCTATTTTGGTATTTTCATATTTCTTTACTCCTACTGAGAGGGATTTCTTTATAATTATTATTCCTAATATACCCCACAAGCTTATCATCATCAATGATGAGCATCTTGGATCACATACACTGGAATGGATTCACCAAAAGTAGTTTGGAAATACTCATCGGTGCTAAAAAGGTACATATTCGTTGCATGACGAACGAGCTTGAGAGTATATTTGCAAAGGTTTTTTCCAGGAGAGTGTTGACGAATGGAGTGAGGGCGAGGAGTTTCTCTTTTCCCCTTGAGAACCGTAAAGGTCTGTGTGCATTTTCTTTTTAAAAAAAAGGATACTGAAATTTGGGCATAGAGATTTGAATTTGCGCGAATAGGATCTTTTAATCAACGGCAAGCATATCCAGATATTAAGAACTTTTTACTAAGGGGCTGTTTGGCAACTTCTGAATAGGTAAGTGCTGAACCAGTAAGAGGTCTGAACCATTAAGTGCTGAACCAATAAGAAGTCTGAACCATTAAGAGCTAGTATATTGCTTAACTATTCAGAGGCAAATGTCTGATCAATTCAGATAATAGGTCTTAACCATTCAGATTATGTATAATACTTAACCATTCAGAGGCAAATCTCTTAACCATTCAGACATCTGAACCATTAAGAGGCAGAAACAAACAGTCTAAACCATTAAGTGCTGAACCATTCAGACATCTGAACCATTAAGAGGCTGAAACAAACAACTCCTAAGACTTGGATTGATAGGGAACTTCTCGCATGGACTACTAAATGATAATCAGGTTCTAATAAACCTTGACCATGAAGCAGATTATCAAAGAATTTTTATGAGACAAACTTGGGACATTGGAGCCCATCGCATGATTATCACTAAATAGACCCCTTTGTCCAAACAAGGTCAAGACTACCCCATTGTGCTAGTTTTGATCTCCTTACCACATTTACCTATTCATCTACATGACAAGAGAGCATTAATGGTAGTTGCACGGAGATTTGGGAAGCCCCTAAAAGTAGATGAAAATATTCTAGATTTTTCAAGGCCAGACTTAACAAGAGTATGTGTTAAATTGGATGTATCAGCAGCCTTACCTTAAAAAATCTTTATCCTAGTTGAAGAGGAAGAATAGCTTATTTCTGTAGTCTATGAGAGTCTGCCAAACTACTGTCTAGATTGTAGTAAACCGGGCCATACTCAAGGGTATTGTAGAGTGTTGTAATACCTTGAATCTGACCCGTTACAGCTCAAGATCCGGAGAGGTCCGGATCCGGAGAAGTCCGACTTCCATGAAATCCGAATTCCGGAGAAGTCGAGATATCCAAATTCCGGAGAAGTCGAGAAATCCGAATTCCAGAGAAGTCGAGAAATCCAAATCTCGAGAGATCCAAATCCTGAGATGACCGAATCCCTTTCTAATTGGGCTTCTAATTATCTGTTAATTCTGTAGTTTGGGCCCAAGTCTGTTAGGGTTTAGCCAAGCACTATTTATATGGGTGCTACTACAAACCCTAGGTTGTATTCTGTTTTTGCCTCTCTATCCGAAATAAAACTGCTCCCCCTCTTCCCGTGGACTAGCCAACACAACGTTGGTGAACCATGTTAAATCTGTTGTCGTGTTTTTTCTCGTTTATATATCTGTTATTCTCGAATTCCGCATAACAAACTAGTATCGGAGCCTCCAGGTTAATCGGTGTTCTTGGAGAATTTCGAGATGTCTGCTTTGAACGTGAAAATCGACAAATTCACAGGGAGGAACAGTTTCAGTTTATAGCAGATCTGATTGTGAATCCTGAGCAGCAGAGCCGCTGTTGATAGAGGAGTCGTCGCACAATCGGCCGTCTCCGTACATATTGTGCGCTACAGGGACGCCGATCTGAGAAGGAGCCGCTGCCGCCTTCAGACCTATCGCCACCGCCCAGAAAGAAAAGTTGCTGCCACTTTTGCACTCGGACGCGCAGCAGGGAGTCGCCGCCCAGCCGTTCAGATTGTAGAGAACCGCTGCAAGCCTCGCAAAGGTGTCGCCGCCATGCGTCCAACCGTAAGTCATCGTTGCGAGCAGCAAGGGGTAGAGCCGCCGTTGCAACCACATCTGAAGTTTGAGCCACAGCCGCTGGTTCAATCAGAGTTGTGCAGCCCAAGGAATTTCCGCCGCCGTGTTGAAGTGCGCCGCCGCCGTCGAGTTTCGCCGCTGGGTCTTGAACCGCAGCAGCAGGCAGTGAACTTAGCCACGGCAGGAGCTGTGATCCAGAAATCAGCCGCCGTCACGCAGATAGGAGCGCCGCTGCATCGCGAGCTGTTCCCATCCATTCAGAGCCGCCACCATCCAGATTGTGTGCCTCCGCCGCCGTCGAGGTGTTGTCGCTGAAAATTCCAGTTGTTGCCCATCTATCTGCCGAAAAGAAAAGAAAAGGGGGGACAAAAGCAGACTGGAAAGAAAAAAAGGGTTTCTTTTTTTGGGCAGGAACGAAAGAAAAAAAATTGTTTGATATGGTAAAAGCTGATGATACAAACTCTGAAGAAGATCTGGTTCTAGTTGTCAATAACCAAACACATTGTAAGGATGTGTGGGTTCTTGACTCTAGGACGTCGTATCATATGAGTCCATATAGGGAGTGGTTTTTAACTTATGAGCACATAGACGAGGGTGATGTTTCCATGGCCAACGGAGTTGTCTGCAAGGTAGTTGGAATAGGCTCCATCAGGTTGAGGACTCATGATGGTACATTCTGCACCTTGAATAAAGTTAGGCATGTTCCATAGATGACGAAGAATCTGATATCTTTGACTCGTCTTGACAGTAAGGGTTTTAGTTTCGAAGGTAAAGGTGGAGTTATGAGTGTCTACAAGGATTCGAAGGTGGTTCTGAAAGGTATTAAACATGGTACCTTATATCTTCTACAGGGATTTGTCATTGTTGCATCATCTGAGATTCATAGAGGTGATGAAAGTCTTGATGTTAAGGTGGAGGTTCGATCTACACAGATTGAGACTGTTGATCACCTAGAAGAATCATCTGTTTCTACGCCTCGGTGAGGCATGCTGTGCCCCGGGAGGGGGCAATCTGGGCCCATGAAGGGCAATTTGGGCTTCCGGAAGAGTCATCTGGGCACTAGGTTTGTGTCATCTGTTTCTGTTCAAGTTCCATGAAGAGTCATCTGGCCTCAAGGGGGAGTTTGCGTTTGTTGGTGTTTAGCTTGAGTTATCTGTCCCCATGCGCGGGGGAAATCTGTTTTGGTGTGTCACAACACTTTTTTTTGAACTCAAGTGAAACAATATGTTCTTTTTTTTAGTGACATTTGTATCCTTGGTTGGACTTCTGGTACCTACAGTACATATGGTCACTTTTTGAAGGAAATCTAGAACATCTACTGCCTTTTGAGGAGTTTCAAGTCATTCAGAACGAGAGTAATATGAAAGAACCTGAAGAGGAGAATCAAGAGCCACAGACAAAAACTGATATTCCAGAAGTCTATGCCATCAGTTACCCATCGTAGTATAGATCAAGATCGACCAAGAAGGGTTGGAGTTCGGCCACCTACGAGGTATGGTTTTGAGGACATGGTGGGTTATGCACTGCAGGTTGCTTTGAGGAGGATTTTCCGGTACGTTAGGGGTACATCTGACGTTGGTCTCATTTATGGAGGTGATACTCAGTGTTCGTTTACAGGATTTTCTGATTCTGACTATGCTGGAGATGTTGACACAAGGAGATCGATGACTGGCTATGTGTTTACTCTTGGAGGTTCTGTTGTTAGTTGGAAGGCAACTTTGCAACCTACAGTGACTTTGTCAACTACGGAAGCAGAGTACATGGCCTTGACAGAATCTGTAAAAGAGGGAATTCGGTTGAAAGGGCTGGTTAGTGATCTTGGTCTGCATCATGATAAGGCCACAGTGTATTGTGACAGCTTGAGCACGATCTGTCTAGCCAAGGATCAAGTCCATCATGAGAGAACCAAGCATACTGACGTGAGGTGTCATTTCCTGAGGAGTGAGAGGAGAATCTAGGTGAAGAAAGTAGGAACTGCTGATAATCCTGTTGATATGTTCACAAAGCCGGTCCCGCAAAGCAAGTTTCAACACTGTTTGGACTTGCTTAACATCAGAAGCTGTTAGTTGCCCTGCGGGGCAATTCTGAGGAAGAGGGGGAGGCCTGGCACAACCATAGTGCGTCTGAAGAATCTGTATGGAGAATTGAAGTCAAGGTGGAGATTTGTTGTAATGCCTTGAATCTGACCCGTTACAGCTCCGGATCCAGAGAGGTCCGAATCCGGAGAAGTCCGACTTCTGTGAAATCCGAATTCTGGAGAAGTCTAGAAATCCGAATTCTGGAGAAGTTGAGAAATCCGAATTCCGGAGAAGTCGAGAAATCCGAATCTCAAGAGATCCAAATCCTGAGATGACCGAATCCCTTTCTAATTGGGCTTCTAATTATCTGTTAATTCTGTAGTTTGGGGCCCAAGTCTGTTAGGGTTTAGCCAAGAACTATTTATATGGGTGCTACTACAAACCCTATGTTGTATTCTGTTTTGCCTCTCCATCTGAAATAAAACTGCTCCCCCTCTTCCCGTGGACTAGCCAACACAACGTTGGTGAACCACGTTAAATCTGTTGTCGTGTTTTTTTCTCATTTATATATCTGTTATTATCGAATTTCGCGTAACATAGAGGCCACCATGAAAAGGAATCTAAAGACACGGATAAAATAGAAGGTTATCTTTCACTTGACAAAGAAGACAAGGGATAGAGTGAAGGAAAGGGACACCTGAAAGAAGAAGAATGGATACTTCCAAAGCCTAAACACAAGAGCAAAAAGCTTGAGTGGAAAAGGATTCACAAGAGTGGCACTACTCATGATAATTTTAAAGAAGGGCCAGGAGAAACATTTAACCAAGGAGGCATCAGAGAACAAAAGAAAGGGATGGGGAAGTGAAGCAGCTCAACAGGACACAAGAACCTGAAGTAAACACTCAGGGAGCATTGTTTCTTTTTTTAACTTTTTTTTGTCTTTATCTGTTATACTTATGGAAATTTTTTACCTTAAAAACATTGCTAGATAGTGTTGTGGTATTCCTCCTACATGGAGGAAGTAGTTCCTAAACAATACATTTAGTGTTAAAAATGTAATTGGTTTAGAGGTGATTACTATAATAATAATTATATCTATTATTATTATAAAGAAAAGGAAAAAAGGGTGAGTGATTGGTGATAAGTCCGTTTTGTTCTTATCATTTACATCATATTCTAAACGTTATTGCACGGAAATAGCGTTTAATCATCTCATGAAATGTGTTTTTAATGACGAAAACTCTCATTTTCATTCTAAGAGTCATAAAATTAGATTCCACATGAAATCATCATAAATCATCCATTTTATGTTCAAATACTTGAGAAAAAGGGAATCAATCATCAAAGGATCAAGATTCGGGCTTGAACAAGCTTCCGGGAGGTCAAAAACAGTGTTCGGGGCCAAAATGGAGTGGAATTGGGCCAAAATCACAACCAGATGCGATGCCCAACAAGAGAGGGGCCTGAGACGTCCACATTGGACGCTTGGGAGTTGGACGCTTCATCTAAAAATCAGCCCAAAAATGACACGTGGCAAAACCTGATTGGCCGGAACAGCTATGGCGTCCAGATCTGGACGGTTTGACTTGGACGCCTTGACTTGGATGCCTTGGCTCCATCCCTATATATAAAGCACCATTTTCAACCATTCAACACACCATTCCATCCCATTCTCGGGTTTTTACCCCTCTATTATTCATTTTAGCTTGTATATTAGTGTTAGTAGTAGTTTTGAAGTATTTTTGGAGGTTTTGACTCCATATCTGTTCTGTTCCGCGTATACTGAGGTTGTAAATTTTCCCAATTTAATATCATGTTATTTTAATTTATGTTTGCATAGTATGAGTTAGGGTTTGGACCTCTAGGTCCGGACTAGTTTGGTTGTATACTTTGAATGTTAAATTAATGTTGGAATGGTTAGTCTATTGTTCTTGCCTTGTTTAGTTAATTAATATCGAAAGATTTAATTAGTTATTTATTGAGAAAATATTGTATGTCGAAGGGCTATGATATTCAAGTGCAACGGATTAAATACAAACCTAGAAATAGGTGAGTAATAATAGAAATATTATTATTCCAATTATTAATTGAATATGATAAAGTAGATCCAAATGATGTCCTAACCCTAGATCCAAATCTTTCTTATACTATGTAAATAAATTTATTTTTGTTTTTACTCTGCTCTTTTATAATGGTTCCGAGAAGACTTTCATAAACCTAACCTAACCTTCGCCTAATTAGAGAAACTAACTAATTCGCTTCGTCCGCTTCTTGAGAGACACGACACTCAGAGAGAAAACTAACCTTTTACTGGGAAGGTTTACTACCCGAAAACTACAATTAGTGGGGGCTACCACTTGCTTATTATTGGGAGCAACATTCAAAGAAATGTTTCTGAAATGGTGCTTTATATATAGGGACTAACCCTTTACTGGGAAGGTTTCCTTTGTGATTCTGAAATGTTTCTTAATTATTAGTGTTTTAACCCGTGTCATGTACTGGTGGAACGAAATTTTGTTATATTCTATAATTTTTTAAAGACATTGTTCTTTTGGATTCTGACTTTTAGAGTTTTTTTGTGAGAAAAATAGTTTTTAAAGAATCTAAATCTAATTTTCTTCGGTTACATAAGTAGTAGGAAATCATTTTTTAGAAAAAATTATTATATTTCTTATACATGAATGTCCATTTTCTTTGTAATTTCTTGAGTCCTCTAATTCTACAAACAAAGCAAAAAACTACTCTCATCTCGTCCCCCTTCTTTAAACCTTATAAAACAAAGCTCTATAATAGAGATTTGATACCTATTGTATGTGAAAAAATATAATTATGTCACCTCTAATTTTGTAAAACTTTTGATCTCGTTTTTAAATATGTATTTTTTATTATTTAACTTTACACGAATCATCATATCAAGTGAAATAAAACTAATTTTATTCAAACGTCGTAACGAAGAAAATTTGGGGATGAAGAGAGTATTTATTTTTAAAAAATCTTACACTAATAAATATTTCCATAAAATTAATTAAAATTTGGTACTTTATATTCTAAAAATATTTTTTAAAACAAATTTCAATAATAATTCAAGATAATAACATAATTTATAGATCTTTCGATGTAGTATGATTAAATCTATATTTGATATCACTATATTATTTTGGAAAATTATTTTAAATAATCCCATCTTTTCATCATTTTTTAAAAAAATAATCTCACTTTTCACTTTCACCGAAAATAATTTCACCTTTCTGCATGTGTCCGAGTTTTGCGCCGCCATTAAAAAACTAACGGCTACTTAACAAGAATTTTATGAAAATACATATCTTTGGAAAATAAATGAAATGTGGGATTATTTTTGATAATTTTTTTTAAATTTTTTGGCATCCAAAGTTTTTGAAGGATAAGAACCAAATTCAGATATTAAGGATTAAGGATACAGAATAATTGCTTGTTTTTTGTCTCTACCTAATGAAACACAATGAGTCAATGCATCTGCTTCCTTTGGAGTTAAAACCTAGGAGAAGTTCTATTCATAATCATTTATATTTTTTTAAAAAAGATAAGCCTCAATCTCGGAGGCCTCTAAGACCCGCTCAAACCGTTATTGAGAGAAGATAAATTAAACTTTGAATCGAAACTTATAGAGGCCTCATGCTTAGCATTATTGCCTTCCATCACAGTTGTCTGTAATCAAACTCGGGTCTTACCCCCTGACAATCTTTACTTTTGTCAACTACGCAACAGGGTGGAACGAACTTTTTGTTTCGAATTTTTAAGTTTTCTTTGCTACAACATTGTTAAAAAATCTAACAAAATAAAATATTAACCTTAAAAGTTAAAATAATGATAAAATAAACTCACTGGTCCCACAAAACTTTTATGGTTTTGACTTTTAAAAGATTTAAAGGAAGAGTATTTTGGTATTGACCTTCCAAAAATGCCCTTGGATGTGATGTGTAAAAGTAAGATGTGATGAATAGATTAATACTAAAAAATGTGATGTGATAGACATGTTCAGAATTTGTAGGAGTAAAGTAATTTTCTAATAGAAATGAGAAAAAATTTTGGGGACGGATGAAAAAAGAAAGGAGAAGATTTTGTGGAATAGAGACAATATAATATTTTGTGATGAAAATTATACTATATTTATTTGAAAATTAACATATCAGGCTCTTATTTAAATTAGAAAATTTTGAAAAATTAAGGTTGTGCTAGGTTTTGCTTCAATGGGGATATATTTTTTGTTTTAAATTATAAATTTCAAATTTCAAATCTTAAATTTTAATTATAGACTTTAAGTTTTGAATTTTAAGTTTTTAAATTTTAAAATTATATTATAATTATAAAATTTTATATTTAAAACGTTAAATTTTAAATATTAAATATTTATATTTTAAATTATAAACTTTAATTTTTTTTATTTTAAATTTTAAATATTAATATTTACGTTTTAAATTTTTAATTTTTAATTTTTAATTTTAAATTTTAGATTTTAAGTTTTAAATTTTAAATTTTAAATTTTAAATTTTAGATTTTAAATTTTAAATTTAAATTTTAAATTTTAAATTTTAGCTTTTAAATTCTAAGTCTTAAGTTTTAAGTTTTAAGTTTTAAGTTTTAAGTTTTAAGTTTTAAATTTTAATTTTTAAATTTAATTTTTAAATTTTAAAGTAAGATGTGATAGATTGATTATTAGAGAAAAAGTATGATGTGATAGGTAGGGTATGAAAAAGTAAGGGTAAAAGTAGTTTTTTAATAGAAAAGGGGAGTGTTTTGTTGGAAGTGGAAAAAAAGAAAGAGGAAGTATTTTTGAGAACGGAGGGAGTGTTTTATATTTTTATTTTATATCAATATTTAAATAAATAAATCAAAACTAAGTTCATTTAAGAATGTCATAAGAAATATGATTTTTTTAGAGCTTATGAAAGTGACTGTTTTTGAGGAAGGAAATTTCATTTATTAATTATACATGAATATTTAAAACTATCCATTATTTATTTCATTGATTATACCCATATGCATTTCACAATTTTAATCTACATAGTTATTTTATTTTTTTAAAAAGAATGTTATATATGTTTTACTTAAAAACTTTATATGGAGTATAAATTTTAAAATTGTTCGCCATTATTCTCTTTTATTACATTCAAGAACAAAATTTTTTATAAATTGTAATAAATATACATTAATATTAAAACTACAACTTTTATATTAAAAAGATATCATATCTAAATATTAAAATTATATTTAGTGGAAAAATAAAAAATAAAAAATAATTTGATTCTAAATACCAAGTAGAATTTTATCAAAATGTTTAAAATTCTAAAATGTTCCATATGGCCTCATGAAATAAAAATAATGTATAAATTAATGAAATGAATTTAGTGGAGTAAATGTAGTATTTGGGGGAGTGTGACTATGACCACCCATTTGTTTTGGTTATGTAATTGAATAGCAGCACCCATCATCACCCTTTAAACCACTAGCGGTTCATCCTCTGGGGTTTAGTATTCTTTGAGGCTCAAATCGATGGCGTCGGACCAAGTAAGAGCATCTCACATACTGATCAAACACCAGGGTTCGAGACGCACGGCGTCGTGGAAGGATCCGGAGGGCCGCGTTATCCGTAACACCACCCGGGACGCCGCCGTCTCCCTCCTCAGAGGCTTGCACCAGGACATCCTCTCCGGAAAGTCACTTTTCGAGGATATCGCCTCTCGCTACTCTGATTGCAGCTCCGCGAAACGCGGCGGAGATCTTGGTAATTCCTACATCCACCGTACCATACAAATGTATAATCCGCTACAATTTCTGTTTCGGCACCCTTCTCGTTTAGTGTTGGTGGTTTGGTTATGGCGCAATTTAGAATCAAACATTATCATTTCCCATTGATAATGTTTAATCTATAATCAAACATTATGCTCTAGTAGTTTTAGCTTATGGCGCGATTTAGAATCACTCTTTTTGCATATCGTTGCTCGGTAATCAAACGTTCGGGTTGCAATGTTGTGTAATTGCTCACGAGAGTGCTGTGCTGAAAACTAATCTGGCAATTGACATAATCTAACGCTGAAAGTACTCTATGAAGATGATGGGATCTCTATAGTCTAAACTGTGGGGGACTATAATGTCTATAAGAGAGGTTAGGGTAACCAAATATTACTTGGATTGATTTTAGTTGTAGATTCTTTCAAGAGGGATATTGGAGGGTTGGGGCCTAATGGACATATATGGTGCATGAAAGTGAATAAAGAGAACAATTTTAGTGGATAACTTTGGTAGATTTCTCATTAGTTCCCATGCCTAACCTCATTCAGTTGGAATTAATAAGGCTTGGTTGTGTTCTTTTTGTTAATAATAAAAGTGAAAGTGTCACAATTGACTGTCACTGTTATAAATAAAAGTGAAAGTTTGTGATTGATTTTTGTATAAGAGAGAAATCGTGTGAAACACATAATTCCTTCTTCAAAAGAAAAGAGAAACCTTTTCTTAGGACAAACAAAAAAGGAAATATAGAACCTTTTTGTGGGACAAAAAAACAATCAAAGTGTGGTATGAATTGTTATTTACTCTCACTACTTCACCCCCCCCCCCCTCCTTTTTTTCTCGCTCCACTACTGGTTCTAAACTTTCTTTTAGGGGAATCTAAAATATGAAAGTATTTAGGTTTGAGTTGTTTTCAAATATTGTATCTATTTGGAAGCCCTTTTCAGAAGTAACCTAAATTAGAAAGCTCCAAATGTTGCTTTTTGAAAAGTTGCTTTTAAAAAATATTCTTTTCTTGACTCATTTTCCAAAAAAAAAAAGGCTTAAAGTTTTTCATGAAATAAGTCCATATATATCATGTGACCTCGTTATCATTCCAAATTTAGATGTGAGCAGTTTGCAGCCTACTCTTCCCAATCCCATTCGTAGGCTTCATTATGTTGCAGAAACTAGTATGGTTGTTATGATGCACGACTTTCAGCATCTTGTTTCCATGTAATTTTCCAACTTTTATTCAGCTAGGCCAGTTGCTGCAGTGATGCAATAATATAATGATGGTTTTCAAACAAACTGCTTGTGTTGTAGGTACTTTTGGCCGTCGGCAGATGCAGAAGCCATTCGAAGATGCAGCTTTTGCACTTGAAGTTGGTGATATTAGCAATATTGTTGATACGGATAGTGGTGTTCACATAATTAAAAGAACTGGTTGATATATGGATGGAATTGAAGAACAGAAATCAGCCATACCAAGAATTCATAATTAATTTTTTTTGCCTTTTTGAGCGTTGTGGCGCGCTATTATCTTGGTTTGTTCAGAACCCAATGCCCATATTACTTTGGGAAACATTTTCTCCTTTCTGCTGTGTTTTGGCTTGAAGAATGTGCTTGAACTATGTTTTGCTGCATGCCTTTTGACTTTTGGAGATTGGCTGTTTCAAGTAAGATATCTCGTTAGAGTAGCAAGAGGCTATTTGATATTCCTATGAATGCGGCTTCAATCCCCTTGGGATGTTTCCCGTTTCTAAATTAGAGAATGCTAGGGTGCCACCACATGAGTGCTACCATGGGTGCACTCATGGTAGCACCCATTTGGTGGTACCCTAGCATGGTCCTTCTAATTTTTTGTTAGAGAAAAGAGATGGGTAGATATATGTGGAATCACATGGGTAGATATATGTGGAATCACCCTGTCAAGCATGGGTGGTCGGGAGGGTGTGCAAAGTGGCTAATCGCACAGGACCCCTAAAATTTTACGGTCCTATATTTTTAAATTCGGCATTAATTTTAAAACATAAGTATTCTAAAAAAATAAAAAAGGACCCAAAATGTAAATTTTGGACCGGGTCAATTTTATTTTTTCATTTTTCGGAGCCGGTCTTACTGTCAAGTGAAAGAGTTAAAATGAAACGAACCAAGTCTTTTCTTTTCTTTCAATTTTTTTGGTAAAAATGTAAATAGAATTAAAGAAAGGGAATGTACAAATAGAACGGGCATACCCGAGCTTGGAAATGGGAAAGAACCGATTTCCGAATACATACCAAGAGTCATCATAAAAACAAAGGGAAGCACAACACAAATCCAAAGAGCCCTACACGGGTCAATAGTACAACACTCCAAACATCATCAAAAGGAAAGGGAATGTATAGGCCAAATCCTCCCCACAATTGTGTAAACCATAACCTTGATTTTAGAAATCATACCCTCTATGTTAAGAGGCTCCTGGTCAAACTGGCAAGCATTCTGCTGTTTCCAGGTGCTACCGTGCTAGGCCCCCATTTTGAAGCGGACCTTGCTATTGTTTACAAATAGTAACTGTTCCGGATAATCTTTCTTTCATACGCCATCCACATGGTTAAATTTACTCTCATTTTTTATAACTTGTTTCATATAATTATATAGTAAGACAGTTCTTGTTTTATAAAAATTTTTATATAAATTTTTTTACGGGATACTTCCTCCATCCCTGAGTATTTGTCCACTTTTGACTTTTTTTTTGTCAAAATTGGTAAACTTTGACTTCAAATTAAATGAAAATGATATTGGATATTGAAATAAAAATAATTTTATTAGATTTATTATATCAAAGATTTTCAAAATATTATTTTATTTATTAATATACAATATATATTTTATTTAATTATAAGTCAAAGGTTAAAAGAGGTTGACCGAAAAAAGTCAAAACTGGACAAATACTCAGGGACGGAGGTAGTAATTTTTATTTTTTCACCTACATGTGAGAGGCTTACGTTGGTAGGAGTCATAAAGGTGGCAATCAGATAAATCAAATTCTAGAAATGAAGAGTACCAAACAACCAAAAATATTCAAATCACCAAGCTACAATTAAAATTCAAATAATATTTATAAAAATTCTTCGTAACAAACAAATGTAACTCCACTTACATAATCATAAAACTTAAGTTTAATATAATGTTCTTCTCAATCCGAGCCTCTCAATCTCCTATAATATTTGTGCACCAGCTTTTAAAGTAGGAGGACGAGTCTCAATATTATTGTTCTTAAATTTTTTCTTATCTCTCCTGTAGGGATGGTCATCTGGAAAAAAGCTATGGTGTGTATCAAACCAAGATTGTTTGCCACCATTTGGAAGTCGAAATGATTGTAGTTCGTCCATACACACCGGACATGCTGTTTTCCCAGCAGTGCTCCAACCAGACATCATTCCCAACGTCAGGAAGTCTCCAATAGTCCATAATAGTGTAGCACGCATCGTAAAGTTTTGACTCAACGACACATCAAACGTTTCAATGCCTTCGGACCACAACATCTGCAATTCTTCAATTAATGGTTGTAAGTAAACATCAATCTTTTGTTTGGGATTAGACTTACCCAAAACTATCGCACACAAAAATATGTGTTCCTCTTTCATGCACATATTGAGCGGGAGATTGTAAGGAGTGACCATTATTGGCCAACATGAGTATTGAGAACCCAATTGCCCGAAAGGTTGAAAACCATCTGTGCAGAGACCTAACCTTACATTTCGAACTTCAGAATCAAATGTTGGATTAGAAAGGTTGAATTGCTTCCAGGCCTCAGAATCGCACGGATGGCACATATCTCCATCACTATCGTGACTGTGCTTCGCATGCCAACGCATAGACTCTGTTGTTCTCTTTGACATGTACAATCTCTTTAACCTCGGTGTTAGGGAAAAATTGAACATGTATCTATTTGATATCTTTTTATAGAGTCTTTGTAACGAGGCTTTTCACAAATTTTACAAGTAGTAAGCTCAGCATCTGGGCCCCAAAAAAGCATGCAACCTTGGACACAACAGTGAATTTCCTCCACTGGAAATATCTATTCTTACAAATCTTACAAGGACAACGCATCTGCCCGTTCAATCTATCTACTTTTGGATTTGACTCACAAAACTCAATGAATTGTCTAACTTTGTCAACCCAATCTGTATTTATAAAACCTAAAGTATCAAGTCTTTTATGCATCCAATTTCGATTTTCGTGAAAGTCACTCATTTTGAGAAATTCAAACAAATAAAATTAACATACTCTTAAGTTATAGAATTTATTACAAACAAAGTAAAAAATATAAAATATAACATTAACAATATGTAAAATATGTAAAATATAACAATTAATTAGCATAAATTCATTTCTCATATAGCACTTACAATATATAAAATAATATATTAAACAATTAATAAGCACAATGTTCATTCACTAAAAGTTTCAAGAATATAATTAATTTTTTAAAAACAAATGACTAAATTTTGAAAAACAAACCCTAACATAAAATAATTATAAAATTAGAACTGAATTTGTAATTATAAACAAAACATGATATTTTAAAAACCCTAATGTAAACAATACAATTATAATAAAAAAATTAATTCACAAATTGAAATTGAATAAAAGATGAAAAAATGAAAAAAAAAGTGAGACTTGATGGCAACGATGACCAGACGACAACGAGGACTGGAGGTTGATGGTGGCGGAGACGACGACCGGACAGCAACAAGGACCGGACGGCGACGCGGAGGAGACTCGACGGTGATTTGGAGAGCAGCAGCTCCGTTCTTTTGTTTTCTTTTGTTTCTATTTGGAAATCAGAGAAACTGACGAGGAGGGGGTTTAGATCTGATATTTGTTTCAATTATAATCTTTTAGCGACGGAATTTTTCCGTCGCCAAACTAACGACGGAACTGTCCGTCGTTATTTTCGTCGTCTAATATGTCGTGCACTACCTCCCGCCAATACGGAGCGACGGAGTGCTGATTCCGTCGTTAATTTTGGTAGGCGTAAAATTTTGTCGCTGATGAATTCGTCGTTGTTAGCGTCGAATTGAATTCCGTCGCTATAATCCGTCGTTTTGTTTTTTGCGTTTTCTTGTAGTGATTATTATTACAATTATTATTATTATTATTATTATTATTATTATTATTATTATTATTATTATGGGAAGTTGTAAAATCATAAGAATTACAAAAGTCATTATTTTTAAATGTAGGGACTCATTATTTTTTCATTGAATTTATTATCTTTTAAATTTTTTCACATTTTCTTAGAAAAAAAAGTTGTATTTTTGTTATACTGAGTACAAAGCTTTCCTTTGATTATTTGAAATTTTAATGTTTGACTTTTTGGAAAAGTTTTAGCATGATATGGTATTATACCGTTACATTTCAAGGTAAAGTTATACTGAATGGCTTTGAAGTCTATCTCATTCTAATATTGTACCATGTTTCAGTATTATCACAGATCGTGTCCACTCCTAAATGCAAAAAAACAGTAAATCTTGAAGAGAACCGGTGTACATTCGGTCAAGTCCTAGTCCTATCCTAACCATTTTCAATCTCCTCCCTGGTCCACGAAGTAGGCTTCGTTCAACATTGGATCATGTCCTGATCAAGTATGAATTTGGGCCGATGCACACCACTAATCAGAGTATTAAGACGTATTTCGTATTATTTTTGATTACACCGAAACGAATACTTACTCCGTCCATAAAAGATTATGATAATTTGATTTTTTTTATCAAAGTATGGCACCTTTTGACTTTTGTATATGGAAAAAATATGTTTAGTTATAATGTAAATTTAGAAAATTGAGTTTATTTTATCAAATTTTAATAATATTTAACTGTTTTAATATATATATATATATATATATATATATATATATATATATATATATATATATATATATATATATATATATATATATATATATAATTCGTGGTCAAAGGGTGTCACAGTTTGACCAAAAAAGTCAAACTGTGGCAAATATTTTAAGGGCGGAGGGAGTAATAAGAGCACTGGAAATACCCGTAAAGCTCCGGAGCTTCAGACCTTCTTTCTCTGCCACGTCAGCTTTAATTTATCTCACAGTTTCAGTGGAAATAGGTTTGAAGCCCCGGGGATTCAAACTCGGGTTTCAACCCTTTATTTTTAATATTTTAACTATACATCTTTTAATATTAAATTAATAAAATATAATTATTTAATTATTTAAAATAATCGAAAGGAGAATAATTCATTAAAAAGATAATATTCATTAAAAAATATTATATCCATTAAAAAAATACATTCATTAAAAAATATTACATCCATAAAAAACACTACAAATTACAAACAAATTACTAATTATTCGAGCGACTGAAGATATGTTCGATCAAATCCGTTGTTAGTGCATTGTGAAACAAAAAATTAAATTCAATAAAAAAATTACATTGATTATAAAAAATTACATCCATTAAAAATTACATTCATGATAAAATAAATAAAATACTTGAATAATATTTTTTAAAGAAGTATGATATTTGTGTTGAATTTTTTTTAAAAAAATTAATTCAATTTATAGAGAAAGAAAGATGAAGAAAGAGGGAGAAAAATATATTTTTTTAATTTGTAAATAGCCGTCGTTAGGGGGAGGGGCTCCAAACCTTTCAAGCCGCGTCAAAACTTTGACGCAGCAATTTTAACGGGATAATAACGGAGGAGGGGGCGGTGTTTAACGCGTCAAAATGTGCATGACGGTGGTGGCCGTCAAGCCCATTACCACTGGTCTAATGATAACCTCGTAGTCAAACTCTAGTTCAAAGCTACTTCTTTCCTGGCCTTCTTAAACCTAGAAACTGTGTATGAACTGCAAATATCCAAAGTCCAAGAGTTGGTATACGGGGTATACCTAGATTTAGGTACATCTAGCAAATATGTTTAAACAACAAATAAATTCTACGCCCTTCGTTTCAAATTAAATTACATATAAACTATTTACAGAGTCAAATTTTATTCATCTTTTTTTCTATTTTTGTAGATCTTTTGATTAGTTTTTAAATATGTAATTTTTATTTTTTTAATTCTACACCATTTTTATATAAAATGATTTGAAAATAACTTCAGTCAAACATCATAAATCAAAACAGATTATTTAAATTGGAATAGTACTACTCTCGCCCAAGGACACTTAACCTCGAAGATGGGATCCGGTCCATTAGTATTAGTATGACCGCACCCATCATGTGGTGTGCAAATGATGTTTTTATTCCTAGTGTGTCGCGTTTGAACTCCCCAAACAATAACTTTCGACTCATTTGTCCTCCCCGTTAACCTCTCCTGTGCGTTGATCGCTTTGTGTGGCTACCCAACACACTTCAAATGCCCCACACATTCATCTTTTTTTTTTCTATTTTCATTAGTCATTTGATAAAATAATATAATAATGGCACTACTAATTTTGTAGATCTTTTAATGTAGTCTTTATATATGCTTCTTTTTAAATCTATACTAATTTTAATAAAATGATTTGAAAATAACTTCCGTCAAATATCATAAACCAAAACAACGATTTAAATTGGGACGAAGGGAGCATGATATAACAGAGTGAGTACTATCACAAATAAGAATGAACATGCTTCATTGTCAAAAGAGTGTACATCTTTTTCCATTTAATTTGGAATCAAACTACGAGCATTACTTGTATTGTAAACATACACACGAGTATAATGACAGCAAAATAAATACTAGCACACAAAAGAATGAACATATTTGATTACCAAAATGAATGTAATACGAAATACTACTACTTAGAATACAAATGAATACCAAGACAGCAAATTGTGTGCTAGCACAAAAAAATGAATATAAATTAATTCATCCTAAACCCGCTACACTGTGATGGCATATAGATCAGCTAGGGTTTCAAAGAGGCCGCAGCCTGTGAAACACCTTCGTCTCCTTCATCACAATTTCATCTCCATCTTAAATGCAGCAAGCATCGCCACTGCAGAGGAGGCGAACTGACATTGCAACTGCTGTCATGGGTCGCGACTCGCGTGCCGGAAATCCATCACCTTCCACCGAATTTGACTCCGAGTGTACGAGGAGAACCGTACAGTGTAATAATTTGTGACGGTCCAACACTCAGTTTAGAGTCTCAACAGTGTTAATCATCGCGACTCGTGTGCCGGCAATCCATCACCTTCCTCCGAATTTGACTCCGAGTGTACGAGGACCGTACAGTGTAGTAATTTGTGACGGTCCAACACTCAGTTTAGAGTCAATATTGTTGATATGGATAAAGCTACTTGTACCCGATGTTTTTCTACCCCACTTTGTACCCCGCAGGTTTGCTCCAACACTTTGTGTTGGCGTAAAACTAATTTTTGTTAATGCACAAACACTTTGTGTCCGTGTAAATTTTTGTTAACACACCAACACTTGTATTGGTGTAAATTATCAAAATGTTTGTGTATACCTGCGGTGTACAAATGAGGTACAATTTGTGGTGTAAGTGTAGCATGGCCCTGTTGTCTGTTGATATAGGAACATAAAAACCCCAATCTATTTTAATCAACAAGCCTTTCGGACGCAATTAAAATACCATAAACTTATAGCAACAATGTAATTTTATTTCCTCCGTACAATGTTCAAACCTTTTTTTTAAGCTCTAAAATAAAATTAATAGAAAATATTGGTTTCCAAAAATTACAGGTCACGGATAAACTTTGAATACTAATACATTGATTATAATTAAAGTACAGGCAAAGACATGCTCTCCAAGTGCAGATAGTAAGAGATAAGTACATTATTAGCCATTTTCCGCTCGATCGTAAGCATTAGATTTGTGCTTCGGTGCAAAGGAAAAGCCTTCAGGAACCTTTCCAAGTAGCATTTCAGAAATCCTTATCTGCATATAGGCAATATAATAATAAGTACTACTCCCTCCCTCCCATTTTATAACGCCTGTTTCGGTTTACGATGTTTGACTGAAATTATTTTCAAATCATTTTATATGACAAATGGTATATAGTTAAAAAACAAAAATTACATATTAAAATACTACATCAAAAGATCTACAAAACTAGTAGTGACAATAGTATTTTATTAAATTGCTAACGAAAATTGAGAAAGAAAGTGGATGAAGTTTGACCCTGTGAATAGTAAACAGGCATTATAATTTGGGACGGAGGGAGTACATGATAACATATTAAAATTGAAGGCTTCAGGTCTTCAAGGCTGTGCTTGGTTGGAGGGGAGAAAAACTGATTCCCTCTCCAGGTTTGATTCACATCCCCTTTTCAATGTGGGACCCAAAATTTTCTCTCAGCTCTTTCCCCTCGACAGCTCCAGATGTTGATGGGAGGGAACCGGAGGAAAAATTTTAGCTCCACGTTAAAAAAAAAACATTTTAAGCCAAAGGGGGAGTCGGCTAGCATCATCCTCCGATCCCATCCAATCCCGTCCCCTCCAACCAAACACCCTAAAGAGCAAGGGAGTGCAAGTTATACACTCAGTGTTTAGAATAAATACCCATTCAGCAGCAGAATCAGAAGCCATGAGTGTCTCAAGGTCATCTCGCCCATGGTATGCAGGTGGTCGCCAATTAATTCTTTGAGGGATGACATCTAAGAGACCAACTGGAATATACCGACAGGTGTAACTAAGCCACTCCAACAAGAAGTGCCTGGTAGTCTCCACTCCTGCACGGCCATTTTAGCATACACATCAATATTTTGCATAGATGTGGTTGTCTTTCAGGGTAAACATGTGCCAAGCGCAATCAAATTAAAAAGATGTTTACTACCCACCTTTTGAGTCAGAACCCCAGTGTTGAAGGCCAAAACGCACATAATCCTTCAGGATATCCAGCCGTTCCCCAGAACTAATATCCCAGTGCCTCTGTTCCTTGATTTCAGTAAATATCCAAGGCTGCAAAAAATAGAACCATATTTATATACTCCCTTTGTCCAAAAATAAAGTTTATACTTTTCTTTTTTGTATGCAGCAAAATAAAGTTTGAACTTCTTCACTCTTTTAAGAAATGAATGTGGATCTAAAAATTTCTCCTCTCAATAAATTTTAACCACATGCCTTTCACTTTTCTAACACTCCATGAAGCTAATTTGTAACGGCACGGGAACTGGTACTTATATCACGACGGGCTCGGGGTCAGAAGCTTGAAAACGTCAATTTTTCAAAAAATTTTAAAGTATTTCAGTGTCAGCACTTGTTTGAAGAATCCATGCAACATAGCCAGGAAGTCAAACTTTGTGTTTATATATATACACATACACACTGATAGAACTCAAGACTGGCAGGGAGAATTAATGCACGCAAGTCTTTATCAAATTATGAAATCAGAATCTAAATTCATAAAATAATAAAGATGAAGGGAAATCTTTATTAGAATATTAGCAAGAATCTTGAACTCATATCCACAATAAAGCCAAGGAGAATCTCCAATAATAAATATTAAATTACTTTCCGAATAACTTGTACAAATAATGAGCCTCAATATTTATAGATGCTAAATAACAACCAATCCCTAGAATTTAGGCCCACTACCACATTACCTAGTAACTAATCCTAGACTTTAGGCACACTACCACATTACTTAGCAACTACTCCTAGAATTTAGGTCCACTTACACATTATTTACTACTTAGTAACTAACATATACTTCCTCGATCCCAAAAAAGATGTGCCCATTTTGACTTTTAGGAAATTTAAGGGAGGAATATTTGTGTTGACTTTCCCGAAAGTACCCTTGACGTGATGGATAAAAGTAGGATGTGATGTATAGATTATTAGTAAAAAGGTATGATGTGATAGGTAGGTTAAGAATTAGTAGGGGTAAAAGTGTTTTTTTAATAAAAATAGGAAGGATTTTGTGGGAAAAGTAAAAAAAGAAAGGGAAGGATTTATGGGGCAGAGGGAGTATAAATTAAAACTTCTGACCTGAGTTAATTATAAATATTAAGAACATTAAATAACAGCATATGTGGCACTCTATCACACAAACACACACACAAAAGATCATTACTAATGACAAAGAGCAACCCCTAATAAATTCTGGACACCTTTATAAGTGCACCTCGAGCAACCATGCATGTAGAAAGCTCAGGACGATCACTTTTGTGCGTATTCCAGTCTATGTATGAAAATACATCGCCGTTGCCTAGGACTTCCACTGATTTTGGAGCTCTTTTTGCACACTGGTAGATGTATTCCCAGTCAGCAAGCTTGCTGTACCGTTGTTGACGTGATCGTCCGTGTATAGTAACAGCAGTAGCTCCCCAGTTTCCAATATCTGCTATCAAAGAATCAATGCGGTTCTTGCCTTCAAAATATCCAGTCCGGACCTAAAGAAGAAAAATGTTTTGCATTAAGGATATAAAAAACCTCTCTGATAATACAAGGCAAGTGACAAGAGCATAAGAAACTCTTCTAATCCATCATTGTAATTGAATTATTTGAATCCAATACATTCACAACCCACCTTGATGGTTATTGGTATGCCAGTAGTTCCAGAAGCTGCTTCTATTACACTTCTCATTCGCATTGGTTTTGTAAGAAGTGCTGATCCAGCACCCTTGTTAACCACAATATCAATTGGGCATCCCATGTTTATATCAATGAAGTCAACCGAGCAATGCTGTTCAATAAGATCAACAGTTCTTGCAACCGTGTCTGGATATGCCCCACATATCTGAACGCCAAAAATGTCTTCACAAGAGTGACGCCTTAGTAGGGCCCATTCAGATGCTTGACCCTGCATGCATGGAAGAAGGCAGTAATTACTTGCTCCTAGCTTTCAAATAGTTCTATAGAATTTTGTGCAATTCAAATAAAATAATACCTCCTTTTTGTAGTATAGGTCATAGTTGTGTGCTTGACTACTTGTAGTTAAAGAAAATGTAGGGCGAGAAAAAGTGGTGTGAGGGAAAGAAAAAGTAGGGAGAAAGAAGAAATCGTCGGCAGAGCGAAGGAAAACGGAACAAGTAATATGGAAAAACACCAAAAAGGAAAGTGTGGCCAGTACTGTGAAAGGTGGGGAGTAAACAGTAGCTCACCTGTAAAAGATTTGTGCACATTGCCATTTCACCACAAGTTATATCAGCTCCCAGCACCTTACAAACCCTCCGAAAAGGTAGATTCCCAACTGTAGTCAGAGGGGCAAGGTAAAGTTTCTCTTTGAAATCAATAAGCTTCTTCTCGCGTGCTTGAACTTTAATACTTTTATCAGTCTCTACACTAAGAGGATCTATTGTTGCTGCAGATGAATCTCCTTCAGGGTTATTGGCAAGCTCTTTCTCATGAACATTTGAACCTGTTGAAAATATAAAGCAACTAGCTTCTTAAGTCCTTTCTTTTTAGACTCACAAGTCATCAGTGAACAACATTATGGAAAACGAAGTGCTCAATTTACACACCATTGTTAACATCCATTGCAATGGGTGTTTCATAAGTTAATGATTTAGCCTTCTTTGGAGGTCGGTCATCTTCAATTGCAATAGCATCCTTGATTTCTTCCTCACCGGTTACTAAACGGGAGTTCTCTAATTTAATTGTAGCATCTGCAGAAACTTCATCATTATGAGAGGTGGAAGAGCTATTCTTCGTTGTTTCATTATCTTCCTCTTTATTGGGAAACTTATTGTTTTTTATCTTTCCCTGCAATCACAGTAAGATAACAACAGAAGCTGAGGCTTAAAAGCTGTAAATCATACAATATCCTTGTGGATAGCACCAACCACAATGCTGTTGGAAATATTCCCTAGGAAAAGAATAGGATTTTGGTTATACTCATACCGGGGTGGTTTTGTTGACACTAGACTACGATAACACTATGCTGCCACTGTCTTTTGGAGCACCTACGGTGCCATGTTCGCAATATTCATGGCTCCTACCCCCCTAACCCCCCCAACCTCCCCGTGCCACACCCTGCACCCCACCCCTATAATGCAGAGGGTTGGGGGGCTAGGGTGGGGTGCAGAGGTTTAGGGGGGTTAGGGAGTAGGAACCATCAATTTTGTGAACAAAGCACCGTAAGTGTCCCAACTGAAGCCGGTGTCATCCGTTGACACTAAAAGTGAAGGCCACCATACTCAAACATAGTATGCTTATTTGTGAAGTTGTGAATTCTTTCTTCAGCTTTTGAATTCCCCTTTACATATGTTCCAGTCGAGGAATGATATGCTTTATATCATAAAGAATATATCTGGGTTATAGAACACTATTGATTGTCATAACCATATCATTCTGCATTTTCTCTAGCCAAAACTTGTTCGGGACATTTATATGGATTAGTTGATCAATACAGTCTTAAAGGGTGTATTCAACATAGAGTCTATAGGATTTTTTTTGTATTCTAAAAGTCATTGGGTAATCAATTAGGAATTTAAAAAATCATTTATAATCTTGGTGTATTCAATTAAGATTTTAAGATGTCCGTCTAAATCTAATTGTATTGAAAATTCTTTTGATATTAAAAGATTTTATATGATAAGAATGAAGAAAAATACGTGTATTTAAACTTTAATGACCATAAGTCTTCTAAGTCAATATAGGACATCATGGGTGACATCAACTGTGCTTCTCTCATGAATGACCTCAACACCTTCTGGACTCACTTATCTCAAGGATATCTCAGCAACTTCTGGACATACCTTCTAATTTCCATATTTGAGCTAGTATATAGGTCACATACTCCAAGCTTGATACAAGTGTATCTTATGCTAGGTCCTCTGAAGGCCGTTCTAAAAAAAGCAACAAGTTGGCTTTCTATGCTAATATGACTGGTGGTGATATGTCCAGTAACTGCTTTCACTCATATGAAAAGATAGTCAGCTTCAATATGTTCAGTACTAGATTATAAATAGTGTGTATAACTGCTTGATTATCATGTATTTGAATTGGTTCAGTGCTTCCATACTTCAATTCTTTCTCCTTCAGCCGCTCTACTAGATTATAAACGCCCAGAGAGAGCTGGGGAAGAGCAGGAGAGCAAAATGGACCCTCTGAAAGGGAAAAAAGTAATGTAAGGAGTTAAAGCTTTTCTCTGGGCATTTTAGGTTCTATCAATTTTATAACAACTATCTTCAACACGCGTGGACCTGGTATGACTATGCATAGATCACCTCTATTTGTGTGGTCCGTTCTAGTGACAGCATTCCCACTTTTTCACCTCAAGGCCCCAATCCATTTATCATGATCTTTCCAGATCACCTCTATTTGTGTGGTCCGTTCTATTTGTGTGATCCCTATCAGTGCTGCCATACTTCAATTCTTCTCCTTCAGCCGCCCTACTAATTTCTTGAGTTTGGTACACTCTTTGCCAAATGCCCATTAATATGATGCTACTCAACCTTTTCTCTGAGTCAAAGGGGCCTTTGATCTAAGGCTTCTTAGCCGGTATCGAATTTTAGACTAGCAAGGTGATGCTTGCAACTAGGTGTGATCGTGTGGAAGCTGAAGTCAACCATGTAAGTGTCCACTTTGTTGTCATCACTTCCTGCTCTTCTTACTGAGTCTTGTCAGTTGTCAGTGCTCCCTTTAAATTTTCCTTTTGGCCTCATGGGAATCCTCTGTGCCAACTAATCAGTTAAACCTGGCCATGATGATCTTGTAGATGTAGTTATATTGAAATTCAAGCTTCAGAGCAACAATCAAAGTGAGTTAATGAAGAGATTAATGGCAGTCAGGTCAGTTATAGGATTCACATTTTTTGATCTCTAGAGTCTACCACTGCAAGGGATCTTGCATGCTTTTCCCCACCTTTTGATTAAAGGTGAAGATGAACGAAATGCTTATCAAATTAAACTTATTAAAGTGACCCCCATATGCCGTCAGGAAGGACTTCATGAATTCTACTAAACTCTTTAGACCCCCATTGGTAGCCCTATGAGCCATTTCATGGTGAGCCCACCATTGTTTCCACAAACAGCCAACTCAGCATCTCAATCAAGGCACGAAACAAGAGCATGCTGGCCTCGTAGCTAGAGAGGTGTTCATTTCAATTTAAGGTCCTATTATAAATCAGATACGGTGACCTCATATCTTTAGGAGAGTGACCCTCAAAAAATTGCTCTTGGTATTGATCCTCCGGGTACTGGTATGTTTCCTTTGACCTTTTATTTAAGGTTCAATCAGCTTTTGCAGCTCATCTATCCCTTCTACCTATGCTTGATTTCCAGATTCCATACTCTCAGAAAATTGTTCACCTCAAGGCCCCAATCCATTTATCATGATCTTTCTCATTTGATTGGGGGGTTGATTGGCGCACTGGAGTTCAATTCATTGTTGAAAAGCTGGACACCTCACAATCATTAAAAAGGGGAGCTTTAATTTTAAGTAAATCTGCTTTGCTTGCATTGATTCGCATCAGTAAAAGGGTGTCATGGAACGGATTTTTGAGTAACAGCACGTCACATCCTGCTTGGCCTATTTTGAGAATACTGTGTGATGGCAAGTCTGAGGTCAAGACCCTACTTTTGTGGGATTCAACTGGGTTGTTGTTGTTGTGTGATGGCAAGTCTGAGGTCGATCGAGACGCTTCAATCGTGTACGCAATACCCTTATCAATCACAATACACATGTTAATTCAGCCATTCAATGTTCTCGCCAGAGTTATTTAAATGATTACAAAACCTGTCATATTTTGTGTTACTACATATCCAGTGGTTACAACATTCTTTAACAAACCATATGAATCAGTAATGACCACTAAGGCATGGTGGTTACGTTATGAAGTCAACCGGGCCAGGTTCTGAATATCTTCACCAGACTACATCCTTAAGAAGTAATGTTGTATCGAGAGATCATTGGAAATCTCTAAATAAGATGAACTTTGATTCCGAGATGTTGGTGTGACAGATCAGTCATAATTCGTCCTAATCATTGTTCTTAAGTCATCGACGAGTCGACGACTAGTAGCTAGTCGTCCAGGCATTTTGGACAGCGTGACTTGACTGTCGCCTAACGCCTGAAGGAGACTAGCGTCCAGTTGTGCAAATCGACGCCTAGTAACTGGCTAGTTGGTGTTTGTAACCTTACCCAATTTCTCCCAACCAACCCGACCCAAATTGCATTAAATTTTAAAAAGCAATCAAAGCTTTGTAGCATTTTTTCACAGACTGTTCTGTCATCTTCATAGCATTTTTTTATCTTTAATTCTTTAGCAGTGGAGTATTTATTTTTACATAAACTCTTTCAATGCTTGTTTTAAGTAGCAGTTTGATACGAAGTTGTTAATTTGTCTTTCTGGTGATTTCAGGTTTTCTCACTTTTAGCTTTTAGGGTACATTGTTGTTATTTGTTTTTAAATAAAGTTATTATTTTCTATTTATGATTTTTTTTCAGTCTTTTTAATTTGGTTTCTTATGAAGGATATTTCTAACTTATGTACACCTTGTTATGCTTGTTTATGTGCTAGCTTTAAATATAATTTTGTTATGGTAATTATATTTCATCTTATAAATACATATGGAGAGAGAGAGAGAGTGTGTGTGTGTGTGTATGTATGTATTATAACTAGGCATATGCTTATTATTATAACTATTCTTAATGCTTTTTAATGGAGATTACCATATTTTACAAATCTATTTGATGTGCATGAAAGAAACTAAAAAGTGATTTCAAGTATGTCTTTCACAATACATCATGTAAAGCGAATTAAATATCAACATAATTAGCGCAAAAGAGCTAGGAAATATATATTCCTATTTCCACTAGCAATTCTAAGAAGTCAATGCATCTTTGATAATTCCAATTTAACCAAAATGTTTGTTTTGCTATAAATCCTCTATAATTTAATTTGGGGAGCCAAGACCATTAACAATTCTTTATTCTGATGGTTTGCATTAATAAATATTTCTGTTTGTTCTCATTAATAAACCTCAATCATGTAAGATTGTTTGGAACTTAGGTTCATAGTTATTAAAGGCGCTCGCTTTTTTTGCCTATGGCGCCTCAGGCAACCAGGTGAGCTCTCATCGCCTCAAGGAAGCCAGGCGAGGCAAAATCCCTAAGGCGCGCCTGAGACGGTTGCCTTTCTCACTTTTCTCGCCTCAATCACTGCCTCAGGCATTCGCCTTGCTCGCTTTTTATTGCTATATTTTACTCCATTATATATATATATATATATATATATATATATATATATATATATATATATATGCATGTATGTTCGCCATTTGACTGTCCACCTCTCACCATAAAAAAAGGTCCTCTCGCCCGCCCCTCGCTACTCGCCATCAATAACTATGGTTAGGTTACGTTTAGAATTCGGAAAATGATAGGTAAAGGAAAAATGCTAAGGAAAATAATCTTTTATGTTTTGTTAACCTTAGAAAACACAAAGAGAGATCACATTGGTCAAAGACAATAAGAACTCTACACAAAATTTCCAGAAATATTCTTCCAGAAAATTTTCATTCTAATTTCCTGTTTGGTAACTTAAACAATAGGAAAACATTTCCTCGGAAAAATATTCTCTCAATAAGGAGAAAATATTTTCCATTTGAATTTGAAGGAAAATTCCTATTCACTCTCCGTACTCAT